CAAATGAGTACATTAAAACTGGGGTAATCAGAACAAGGTCAGAGGACTGTCTCAGTGTCAATATCCTGGTTGTGATATTGTACTATATAGTTTTTCAAGACATAATCATTAGGAGAAGATGGGTGAAAAGCACCCATAATCTCTTTGTCTTATTTCTTATAATTGCATGTAAATCTATAATGATCTCAAAAATTTTAATTAAAAAAATACCATAATGAAAAGAGGTGCCCTGGCAGGTGTTGCTCAGTGGTTTGGGTGTCATCCTGTGCAGGAGGGTTGGGGGACCAGAAGGGGGATTGATAAGTAGGGATGGAGGGGCCGTGTCCCCGGTTCCATCCAGTCATATGCAAATGCCTGGATTCCAGGTTCAACCCAAGTAGGAGTGCATGCTGGAGATGGCCTATCCATGTTTCTCTCTCACATTAATGTTTCTCTCTCCCATCCTCTCCCTTAGTCTCTCTCTAAAATCAACAAAGATATATTTTTAAAAATTAAAGGTAAGCTGAGAGGGGCTGCTTCAGGCCCTTCTGTAGCTCAGGGTTGACAAAGAACAGGAAACAGAGGGGCTTTGAGAGAGAATTTAGGGGTGTCTGGGTCTGAAACATCAGAGTCCACCCAATAACTCAGCAGACCTCCGTCAGACCTCCGATCTCTCTCCGTGTGTGTGTGTGTGTGTGTGTGTTGCAGTGGGGATGGGAACTGGAAGTTAGAAATTAGTGCACAAACTCACCACTAAATTATCCCATTATTCATTTTCAAGAGCATAGCAGTATTAATCTGATAAGCAACTAAAGTACAAACACATTTGTATTGTCAGAGGGGAAAAAAGAAGTTTAAAAAATATGTGCAACATAATGACTCAACTCTCAGCTGCCTGTCTTTTTTTGTTTTGTTTTTAATCTTTACCTGAGGATATGCTTTTATTGACATTTATTTTAGAGAGAGAGGAAGAGAGAGAGAGAGAGAGAGAGAGAGAGAGAGAGAGAGAGAGAGAGGGAGGGAGAGAGAGAGAGAAATATTGATGTGAAGGAAAAACATCTACGGTTCCCATGTTCTCTGTCTTGAATGGGGATCGAACCTGCAACTTAGGTATGTGCCCTTACTGGGAATGCTCCTGTTGGTGTATGAGACAACGCTCAAATCAATTGAGCCACCCGGCCAGGGTTCAGCCCCTTGTATTTTTGTTTGTTTTGTTTTGTTAAAATATATTCTATTGATTTTTTTTTTTTTTACAGAGAGAAAGGGAGAGGGATAGAGAGCTAGAAACATCGATGAGAGAGAAACATGGATCAGCTGCCTCCTGCACATCCCCCACTGGGGTTGTGCCTGCAATCAAGATACATGTCCTTGACCAGAATCAAACATGGGACTCCTCAGTCTGCAGGCCAATACTCTATCCACTGAACCAAATAGGTTTTGGCTCAGCTCCCTGTTTTAAATGTGAGTTTTATTATTATTTAGGCACGATGAGGCCAATTGATCAGGAGATTACTACTATTGAAAAGGTAGTTTATTACTCACAGTTCCTAAGAGGAGGGGGCAAACCACACCATGCAGGGCCACACGGGGCAGCACCAGGGTCTATCTGGAGGCAGAGGGAGCAGGGAGTGGGGGGAAAGATGGGCAAGAGCCTTTACTGTGGTTTCTGCAGGAAGGAACAGGCCAGTTGGGGTCAGAAGGTTCTAGATCATCTAGTTTCAACAATTTCATGAGCTCTGGGGCATAGGTGCTATCCCTGGTTGCCTGATCCCTGGCCCTGGGTGATTAGGCAAGAGATAGTGTGTGTGGGCTCTCAATTGGTTTGTTTGCATATGGGTTCTTTACTTATCTCTAGGATAACTGTGGAGTTGGCAGTCTCTCCAGAGTCAGCAAGACCCCAAAGGTCAAAGTGTCAGAAAGACGTGTTTACTACAGTGCCCCAGGTCTAGAACAGGTCCTGCGACTTAATAGGAGTTCAGTGAATATTTGCAGAGGGAAAGGAGGAGGAAGAAAGGGAAAAAGAGAGGAAGGAGGGAGGGAGAGTTGGCTTGCTGAGCACACTTCAGAGACCTCTGCCATTCTCTCTGGAACTTTGAGCCACCTCCCATTCGTCTCCCCTCCCACCCACCCATCTGTCTGGTAACTCCTCCTAACAGGCAACTCAAGTCCCTGATTATGAAAGTGCATCAAATGGGTGCACCCGGGGGCAATGTTCCAGCTACCTCACCCTTGTCCAGGCAGTTTTTCTATCCATCCTCTCTTTCTCTCTCTCTCTCTTTTTTTAAAAAAAATATATTTTTTTGATTTTTTGCAGAGAGGAAGGGAGAGGGATAGAGAGTTAGAAATATCGATGAGAGAAAAACATTGATCAGCTGCCTCTAGCACAGTCCCTATTGGGTATGTGCCTGCAACCAAAGTACATGCCCTTGACCGGAATCAAATCTGGGACCCTCAGTCCGCATGCCGAGCCAAACCAGTTTCGGCTATCCATCCACTCTTATCACTCCTGAGTCTCAGACTCAGAGATTTTGTTTTATTTAATTAATTAATTAAGTAAGTAAGTAAGTAATTTATTTATTTACTTATTGTGCTGTTCGTTGGTTTGTGGTTAGGTAAGGCTGCACATATATAAAAACAAACAAACAGAAAACAAAAAACAAACAGCGCTAAGTGAGCTCCCTTGCACTATTCTCCCTTGTCTGGGCTCCCCAGTACTCCTTCGGTACTGTACTGGTGCACTCCAACAGAGTCTCTGCATTAGCAGTCTGTCTCCCAGGCCACCACACATATGTACATGATGTACACATTGTTCTCCACTCTGTTTTTTTTAAAACTTTTTCCTGGAGCTTGTTCCATATCTGTCCACATGGAACAGCCTCATTCTTCTGAGGCTGCAAGAATACGTCCTAGTTTTATATGGACCCTGACTTAAGCAGGCGCTTCCTGGTGGACAGACTTTCAGGCTGTTTCCAATTCTGGCTTTTTTTTTTATGCTTTTATTAATTTTATAGAGGAAGGGAGAAGGATAGAGAGATGGAAACATGTATGAGAGAAAAACATCAATCGTCTGCCTCCTGCATGTTCGCTACTGGTAATTGTAGCGAGAAAGAGACACATCAATGATGGGACTCATTGATTGGCTGCCTCCCGCGTGCCCCCCACTGGGATGGAGACCGCCATCACAACCAAGGCATGTGCCCTGACCAGGAATCTAACCATGACCTCCTGGTTTAAATAGGTCAATGTTCAACCACAGAGCCAGCCTGCCAAGCAAGACCCCCTCTTCTCCAAGAGATTTTCAAGAGAAGTCCTAAATCCACATTTTACTTAAGTTCTCCTGATTTTTTAAATGTTGGTTATTCGGGTTAAAAAAAAATACCACCTGTGGGAGTCACACAACACAGCCTGTGAACTGGTGGCGGCCCACGCACTGCCAGCTTTGGCGTCCTGAGCACTGTCCGCTCCCCCAACTGTACCGACGAGAAAATTGAGACCCCAGGGAGTGGGAGGCACTTGCCAGAGGTGACTGTCAAGACCAACGCCCAGATCCCACTTGTACCCTAATTTCTCCCTCTCTCACTCTACCCCTTTCTTCCTCCTTTTCTCCCCCTCCTCTCCCTCTTTGTCTCTCTCTGTGTCTTTCTGACTCTCTGACGTGTGGTGTGTGTGTGTGTCTCTCTCTGTATCTCTAGATGCATCTCTCAGTCTTTGTCTTTATCTCCTCTTTTCTCCCGTGTGTGTGTGTGTTTCTGTGTGTGATTCTCTGGGTCTCTTTGTCCCCTCCCCTTAGACAACCGGCCTCAGAGCTGGGTGCAGAACTGACCCGGCACCAGCAGCCCATCCCGCGTCGTGTGTCAGCTCACCCTCCCGCCCCCTGTCCCCGCCCCGCCCGCCCCAGGTTTCCGGCGGAGCTGGGAGGCGGAGGGGGAGATAGGGGGGCGGTGTACCCGCGGGGCCGCTGCCGTCAGCGCCCCTTGCGCGTCGGCCGCGACCCCTCCCCGCTGACCTCACCGGCGCCGCCGCCGCGCGCGGATATAAGCGCGGGCCCCGCGGAGCAGCGGGCACCGGGGACCGGGACGCCTGACCCACCGCCCCGCCGCCTCCGGACCCCGAAACTCCGGACCCGCAGCCCCAGGATCCCGGACCGAAACTCCGGACCCGAAGGAAGCCCCAGGATCCCGGACCGGTCGGTCCCGCGGAGCTCGCGCCGGACAGGTGAGCACCTGGGTCCGGGGCAGGGGGCCCTTTCCTCCCGCCCGCACCCCAGGGCGCCCCGGGGGGAGAAGCCGCTGCCGCCTCGGAGCTCGGGGGGGAAGGGGGGCGCTGGTTCGAGCCCCGTCTTCCACGTCGCAGGCACCCCGGCGGCGGGCACCCTGCACCCCCAGGTCCCTCCCTGCGTCTGGGCATCGCAGGGAGGACTGGCCGCCCGCCTGCCCGGCCTCCCGCCGCAGGTCCCGGCGCCGCGAGGCCGGCGGGGCGTCCCGGGACCGCCGGGAGCGGGACCCGAACCCCGACGTCAGCCGCGGGGTGTTCGCTTAGGCTCCGAGCAGCCTCAGCACCGCAGCCTCGGCGCCAGGACAGAGTGCTGGCGCTGGGACTAACGTGGGCATTGGGATCTTAGGGTCAGACTTGCATTCCTGAGCCTCGTCCCAGAAGCACCGTTTCCTTAGAAATAGGGTCTTGGCGTTGGGATGAGGTCGTCGGCGGAAGGTGGGCGAGAGGAAGGGGGACTTGGGGGGGGGGGGGCGGCTCCCAGACTCTGAGCGGAACTGGGCATGGGCAGGCGCTCCGAGCAGCTGGACAGGTGAGGACCCCGGGGCGAGGCAGACCCTCCTGCTGCCCCCGGTTCGGTTCGCTGTACCAGGTCCGGAAAGGAGGAGGCGCAGCTCCCTGGGGGACCGGGCGCAGCGCGTTTATTCTCTCTCTCTCTCTCTCTCTCTCTCTCTCTCTCTCTCTCTCTCTCTCTCTCTCTCTCTCTCTCTCTCTCTCTCTCTCTCTCTCCTCCTGATCCAGCCGCCAGGATGCCTGGCCCTTGGTTGCTGCTCGCCATGGCTTTGACCCTGACCCTGACCCTGACCGGTGTCCCCGGAGGCCAAGCCCAACCCGAGGAGCACCAGCAGAAGGATGGGATGGTCACACAGTACCTGTACCTCAGGAATCTCCTGGACACCCTCCTCCAACAGGAGGACCCCCGAGAGCTGCTAGGGCTCCCAGAAAATCAAAATCCCGAATCAGGTGAGAGGCAGGTCTGACCCGGGCTGCCCAGGCGAGAGGAGGAGGCTGAGGAGAGGGCCGTGGGGAAACCGGATCAGAGGAGAGGGGGCGTCTTGGTCATCCAGCCTGTTGCTCAGAGAAAGTCTCACTGGCCACACCCTCCGCCAGGTCATGAGCTGACCTTTTCCTGGGACCAGATTCCTCTGGCATCTCCGTCTGGGGAATATGTCCCAGAAAACATACCCACCGTGGGGGGAAGATGCTGTGCTGGGAGGAAAATGCCAGGCACCCACTGTTCTAAGCACTTCACATACTTTGTCACACGATCTGTTCTTCCTCACCACCTCTTAGATAGGAACCGTGACTACCCCTCGTGGTACACACAAGAAAACTGAGGCTCAGAGAAGTTAAAGCGAGTTGCTTATGGTCAGACCGCGAGGGGGTGGCGGCGTTGAGACTGGAATCAGAAGTCATGCCCTTGACCATCTGTGTGAGTGCGTGTGTCTGTGAGTCCCGAGGGACAGGTGCAAGGCCATAACGCTGCAGGAATTCCTAAACCTTGACTGGAGGAAGGCTAGGGTAGGCACTCAACGGTCAGGGGATGTCTCACTCGCTCTTTCCTCCCACAGAGTCCCAGGACGTTGAGTCCAACGAGCTCTCGAAGCGTCAGCATCCAGGCAAAAGGGAGGAGGAGGCAGAGGAGGGAGCTGAAGGGGAGGAAGAAGAAGGAGAGGCTCTGGGGCCCCACCAGCGGCAGCGTCCAGGCCCGTGGGAGAGTGCGGCCAAGTGGCCAGGGGATGTGTCCCCGCAGAAGCGGCAGCACCCCGGCCGGCGCTCCTCCTTCTGGCTGGGGTATGCTTTCACCAAGAGGCAGCACCCCGGCCGACGGCTGGTGGACCCCAAGGCCCAAAGGAGCTGGGGAGAGGCGGAGGAAGGAAAGGAGGAGGAGAAGAGAGAGCTGATGCCTGAGAAACGCCAGCATCCGGGCAAGAGAGCCTCTGGAGGCCCGTGTGGGCTCCAGGGAGACTGCGGTCAGGCCAGCCTCCTGCTGGGGCTCCTGGATGACCTGAGCAGGGGCCAGAGGTCTGAGGAGAAGCGGCAGCACCCTGGACGGCGGGCGGCCTGGGCCGGGGAGCCCCTGGAGGAGTGAGCCCAGTTTCCTGTAAAGTCGAGTTTGGGGTCTAAGAGTCCTGTGCACCCTATCCTTCTGTGATCCCTCTTTTCCTTACCCTGAGATCCCTAACCATAAACCTGAGTCCCCCACCCCTGTATGCACACACCCAAACCCCTGGCTTTGCTTGCCTCCCTCCTTCAGGGACACGAGAAGGCCATCCTATAAGCTAAAATCCCATATTCCTTCATTTCATGTCGCTGGCAAGGGGGCAGATTCCAGAGGTCCTCGCCTACCCTGCAGGCCGGCTCCCCTGCCTTAGTCCTGGCTGAGATGATGACCCTTCTGTGTCTTCTAAGGTATTCCCAGAGAGGGGCAGAGTGCCTTTGGGCAAGCAGCCAGTGAAGAGGGAGGTGCCATGGGAGTGGTGATGTCCAAATCCAGCTTCCATCCCTCACCCCCTATGTCAGGAGTCACCACATGTAAACGTTGCCCCCAGAATCCAGGATCTCCTTCCGTTCCTGGTTTTCTTGGGTGGGTTTTTGTTTGTTTGTTTGTTTGTGCGGGTGTGTGGGTGGCGGCACCTGACCCACAGCTGTGTTCTGCGTGGGGGAAGCATTTCAGGTGGAGACCCCCTGTGGTGCTGTGCTGTGTGGTAGCTGCAGAGTGAGTGTGTGCGGGAATATGTAAACATTGCCCTGGAACCATGTATGTGGGAATATGTAAATATCATTCTGGATGTTGCGGCTTGTAATATAACCTACTAGACACCTTCTTCTTGTCAATGATAATCCTCCTAATAATAATAAAACATGTCTGGATAATCATGGAGTTCTGTGGTTGCAGTTCTGTCTCGGCTGATGTGGGGTTTCTCCTAATAATAATAAAACATGTCTGGATAATCATGGAGTTCTGTGGTTGCAGTTCTGTCACGGCTGATGTGGGGTTTCTCTTTTCAGCATTGAGAGGGGACTGGACTAAGAGCTCCCTAGCTCTGCTGACAAGGGAACCTGGGACCCTGGGGCCATGAAAAGTCCTCTCCACTGCCCCCCACCTCAGAACAAGCTTGGGAGGGGAACAGGGACTCTGGAGCCCATTTGACCCCTGGGGGAAACTGGGGCCTGGAAGAGAGGAAGACACAAAGCTGGCTGAGGGGAGCTATAGGTCTTAGAGGCCACCTCAGGACCCTGGTTTGGTGAGAGAGCTGGTCTGGCTTAGGTTTGTAATCAACACAGTTCTGTGGCAGGAATCAACAGTCTGGGTCACATGGGAGGCAAAATGAAGACAAAAAGCTATGATTGGGGACTCAAACCAGGGGCCTTTGGGGCCAGGCGGGGAGTCAGGCTAAGTGCAGGACAAGAGGGAGTGGTGGGGACTGAGGCAAACTGAATAGGCTATCTAAAGACACTTAAATCCAATCTCACGTGCGCACACACACACACACACACACACACACACACGCCAGTCACTGGGGTTTTGTTGTGAGTCCATGTCATCACCGTGGCTTTATCCTTAAGTCTTTGCGCTGATCCCCAAACATCCTCTCACACACATGACTTTTGCTCAGCCTAGGATGCTGTGACAGAGATAGTCCATGTTTCCCTACATTTCCAAGCTTCCCTTGCAGTTGGGGTAGAGTCACTAGCCCTAGCCAATGAGCTGTGAAGAGAAGGGTGTCACTCCTGGACTGATGCAGTTAAATTCCATGAACCTCTTTTACCTGCCACCGAAGCCTGGGAGGCCACATGTTGAAATGGCCAAGCACGTGACAGAAGGATTCTGGCCCCTGGCATCACCTGATGGAACTTAGGCACTGCTCACCCACATCAGACTTTTCATGTGGAAGAAATAAACTTGTGCCTGGCTGGTGTGGCTCCTGGTGCAGCTCCTGGCCTCCTCCTCCTTAGCTGTCACTTCAGACAACACTGCCTTGGTTCATGGGTTGAGCGTTGACCCATGAACCAGGAGGTCATGGTTCGATTCCCGTTCAGGATACATGTCCGGGTTGCGGGCTTGATCCCCGGTAATGGGCACGCAGGAGGCAGCCAGTTGATCATTCTCTCTCTCATTGATGTTTCTCTCTCCCTTCCTCTCTGAAATCAATAAAAATGTATTTAATTAAAAAAAAAAGAAATAAACTTGCATTGTATTAAGTCACTGAGATTTCAGGGTTTGTTACTGCAGCTAAATTTAGCCAGTTGTGATTAACACAAAAGCCTCTCACTTGTTCTCTCTCCACTAAAATCCTTCTCATATGTGTCTGTCTTCATCAAAGCTATGAAGCTCAGGGCTTGGCAGAAGTTGGTGCTTCATAAATATTTGTTGAATGGATGTTGAAAGCTTCAAGTCACTTCTATACTAGTTCTTCAGCCTGACTTCCTCAGGCTCTCTGCCTTTCAGGGAGTCCCCATCCAGTGGGGAGACAGACAAGCAAACAGATGATGGCTACTTGGTGTGAGATGTATTGATTGTGGTGAGCAAAGCTCGCAAAGAACACATGGATGAGGGATGTTCGGGCAAAGCAGGCTTCCTGGAGGAGGAAACATCCAAGCAGAGTCAAAGGATAAATAAGAGGAAAGCTATTTGGGGCAGAAGGAAAGAGCATTAACAAAGGCCCCATGGAAAGAAATAACATGATCTTGAAGTTGCTAATATTTGAAATTTTAGGTGTTTTAGACCCTCCCTCCCTCCACTATCCCAACCCCATTGTGTAGCCCAGACCTTAAGTCTTTTTTTAAAAAATATATTTTATTGATTTTTTTTACAGAGAGGGAGAGAAATAGAGAGTTAGAAACATCAATGAGAGAGAGTCATGAGAGTCATCGATCAGCTGCCTCTTGCACGCTCCCCACTGGGGATGTGCCCACAACCAAGGTACATGCCCTTGACCGGAATCGAATCTGGGACCCTTCAGTCCGCAGGCCAACACTCTATCCACTGAGCCAGACCTTCCGTCTTATTCAGTTCTCCCCCTTTGCCTGGTTCTGTCCAGTCTCCACAGACACTCTGATTGCCACAGCTCAGGGTATTAAAAACAGTGTGGTTTGGGGTGAAATTGAGCAAACCTTCCTAGGGAAAGGGGCACTTGTGTTGAGCTTTGGAAGATAAGAGGGGGAAAAAAATGTTTCCCAAACTTTTCCTCTGGGGCCAGACATTAGGAAATGCCATTTTGTAGGTGATATGTAAATGAATGAATGAATTGTCCATTATGCTCACCTCTGTTTGGAGAAAAGGTAATTAAGAAAAAAGTCAAGTAACTTTTCCAAGCACATGAGTCTGAAACTTGGGGGTTGTTTGCAGGGCTCTAAGGCCTAACATCTATTTTTTTTTTTTTTTTTTTTTTTTTTTACCGTGTCCTAGATATGTCTCAAATCTACCCACTTACTTTCAGCTCCTCTGCTACCACCCTGCTCCTGGCCTCCTCCTTCTCAGTGTCACTTCAGACAACCCTGTGGCATGTGGCACTGCATCCAACCCCTTCCTCGCCGCTATCAGTTTGTAAGTGTATCTGTCTTAGGTTGGGTTCCTGAAGCACCAGACCCTGAGAGAGGATTTGAGTGCAAGTCCTTTCCTTGGAGAGTGATCCCGGGAAGCACTGGTCCGGGAGGAAGCGGGGAGTGATTCAGGGAAGGGGAGGAAGTGAACAGAGCATGCATTAGAGAGCAAGTTTTTCTTGGGAAATCATACTATCGTGTTTCCCCAAAGATAAGACATCCTCCAAAAATAAGACCTAGCGCATGGAAAGATAAGACATCCCCTGAAAATAAGACCTAGCGCAACTTTGGGAGAAAAAATTAATATAAGACACAGTCTTATTTTCGGGGAAACAGGATAGTAGGACAGGACTCAGAGTTGCCCCACTCCACAGGGTGAGGAAACTGGACATTTTCTTCTGCATTCCATTGATCGGGAGTTGAGGGCTGCTCCTGGGGACGTTAATTCCCTGGCACTTCCAGCTTGCCCTGTGTCCTGACCACAAGAAGGCCCTTAGGTGAAGAATCTCAGGAAAACATTGTGGGTACCACAAAGGTGAGAACTAAGGGGACAGGGGGAGGGATCAGCAGCATCTGCCACAGTCTTCTTGCATGATCCTATTTAATAAAGAGCTAATATGCAAATGGTCGTCACACCCTTGTGCTGGGGCTGGGGGACCTGAGGCCAAGCTGGGGAACCGAAGATGGAAGGTCGTACCTCCTGCCCTGGTGCTGGGCTGGGGGACCTGAGGCTTCACCCCCCACCCTGTGGGGCTTGGTGGGGGTGGGGCCGTCCGGGTCTGGGTCTCACGTGATTTTGAGGCAGGCACAGTGGGCAGGGACTTGGGTCCTGTGGAATGCCCCAGACTCTGACAGGAGGGAGATTTTCATATACTAATTTTCTTTCATCTCTGACACTTATATTATTTAAAAAATATATATATTTTATTGATTTTTTACAGAGAGGAAGAGAGAAGGAGAGAGAGTCAGAAACATAGATCAGCTGCCTCCTGCACAGCCCCCCACTGGGGATGTGCCTGCTGCCAAGGTACATGCCCTTGACTGGAATTGAACCTGGGACCTTTCAGTCCACAGGCTGATGCTCTATCCACTGAGCCAAACCGGTTTCGGGTCTGACCCTTCTATTATAGAGAAAGGGCAAATAGCAATTCTAAACTATTTCCTCTAACTAATTCCCTTTTAATGTGCATGAATTTCATGCACTGGACCACTAGTTTTTTCATAAACGGTTCCTCCTTCACCGAATCCGGTGCTCCAGCATTGAGGACAGTAAACAGTGGTAAGTGTGTGAATGAAGGCCACACAAGTGAGCAAAGGTGGAGCTGAGATTTGCCACCAGGGCTGCCTGATTCCTGGGCCCAAAAGGAAGGTGGTGTGGCAAATCCAAATGTTGTAGGACCCTATACAGTCACTACACACCTGTGTAGCTGGCCCCAAAGAGGGCCACAGAGCTGTCAGCTTATGTTGCCACCAAATATAACATCTACCCAATTACTCTACCTTTTAAAACCTTTCAGAGGCCGAAACTGGTTTGGCTCAGGGGAT